CGTCAGAATTTCCTCCCTTGCAGGGCACAGCTGAGGCTGATGGGGTCAGGAGGGCTGACCAGAGGGGCAGGAGAAGGAACATGTCTGACTGCCTGCCTGCCTGCTAGAGCTGGTTGGAAATGTGGGTGTCGGGAACCCAGGTCTGGGGTGCAGCTGGGATGGTTTCTTGTGCAGGACGTGTTTCTACACACACAGCTCCCTTTTCCCCAGTCAGCCTTCTCAGGATTCTGGCTGCGGGGTTTCCTTGTTCTCCATGCTTACTGAACATCAGCTGGGATGGGGAGGGGGCAAGCCCACTCAGAACGAGGGTCTCCATCCAGATGGCTGACTGGCTGGACACCTTGGGGCCCAAGAGTCCGTTCAGGCCAGAGCCAGCCCCGCCTAGAGTGGTCTACTCTTGCCGGCCTCTAGGGCAGCGGTGAGGGCTCAGTGAGCTACAGCCCCGGGAGCCCCCAGGGCCAGGCAGGAGCCCACTGTTGGGTTTTTTCTTTGTGTATCATTGACTTGGGCCTCCTAGGAGCCTTGGAGGGTTCAGGCACTTACTCAAGTGTCAGAATAGAAGGTGTCAGCCCTCTGGGAGTCTGGGTGGGGGTGGCCTGGAAGGAGCCAGTGAGCTCTCAGGGGCAGGGCCGGGCCGGGCCCAGGCAGTGTGGATAGCAGGACCGTGGGCAGATGTTGGGAATCCATTCCAGCACTCCCGGTCTTTTAGTCCCAGTAGACATTTCTGTAAAATGGGGAAGTGCCTGAGGCTGTAAGGATTAGACTGAGTGAACACCTGTCAGACCACCAGTCCAGGTGCTGGGCAGCCCTCTAGTGGGGTAGCTGCTCTGAAGGACTGGAACACGGACCCCACGGCTGATCTTGATTACGCTCCGTCTCTTCCACAGGTGGCAGCTGCCAACAAGAAGCATTAGAACAAATGCTGGGCTAATAAACTGCCTTGTTCGTATTCCTGTCCAAGTCTTTTGATTGGCTGCTGCTCCTCTGTTTGGGGGCTTGCGGGAGGAGCACTGAGCTTCCCTTCCCTCGTGAACAAGGGGGACTGGAGGTCCTTAGGGGCTGTGATGCCAGCAGCCACAAAGCCTAAGGCCCAGCCCTGCCGGTTCAAGCAGTTCCACCCACCCGTGGGCCCGGTGGTGATTGGGTGGAGCCGGACCGGAGGCCCTTGCACCTCCCCCACATCCTGCCTTTGCAATTCTCAGTAAGATGAGAAACCGAAAGGAGTGGCTTTCAGGCAGTGGCCCCACCTGGGGCCTGGGCTGCAGAGGCAGCATTCTGTCCCTTCCTGCAGCAAAGCAGGGCAGGGGCAGCCAGCCTTCACTCCTGGTGGCTCCTTGAGTGCCTCTAAACCAAGGTGACCTGGGTGTCCCTGGTGTGCACCTTTTGTTGGCGAACAGACCAGAGACCCTGCCTGAACCTCCGCTTTAGGAATCTGTCACCTTGGGCCCTTTTGGAGTTGGGTGACCCTGCCCCAGAGTCAGGAAGGAGTGCCCTTTCCACCCAAACCCACCGCCCTCCTAGGGGAGAGGTGCGAGAGGCACCTGAGCAGGGCTTGAGCGGAAGTGCCTCTACAGTCCTGCAGGGCAATTGGCTCCCAGGCACGAGTGGGGCAGGAGCCTGCCAGTGATTGGGCACATGGTAGGGAGGGGGAGATCTGAAGGCCACCAAGGTGCCAGACCCCAGAAAGCCCAGAAGAGTGGCCCCAGGGACCAAACCCACCTCCTCCTCCTCCTCCTGGAATGCTGAGCCTGAGCTGGTTGGCTGATGTCTTTAATAAGAATCCCCCAGTCCAGGTTATTCCTCACAGTGGACCTGTTTTCCTCCAGTGCCAAACCTGGGCTTCGAACTGAAGTTCAAATGACAGCTCTGGCCCTAATTCACTGCAACCCTGAGCAATTTGTTACCCCTTTGAGCCCTAAACTGTGAAGTCTGTAATGTTTCTTAGGCCTGAGGGATCTGAGGAGCTGCCACGGAGGTAGGTAGTGCCTTAACTCAAGAGCATCACACGAAGTAGACAACCAGTTACAGCAAACCAGACTCCCACACCCAGTGGGGAGTGAGGCTGGCCTCCCAGCTTGGAAGCCAGTGCCAGAAGACTTGTGCTGAATAAACAGCGTGCCACGTGCAAGGCACTTTATAAATCACCTAATACGGGGCGCCTGGGTGGCTTAGTCAGTTAAGCGTCCGACTTTCGCTTAGGTCATGATCTCGCGGTTCGTGGGTTCGAGCCCAGCGTTGGGCTCTATGCTGACTGCCGGCTCGGAGCCTGGAGCCTGTTTCAGTCTGTGAAACAGCTGTGAAACAGTCTGTGAAACAGCTCATGCTGTCTCTCTCTCTCTTAGAAATAAATAGAACATAAAAAAATAAAAAAAAAAATAAATCACCTAATACACTAGGCAACCTGGTGAAAGTGCTGGAAAGCCCCCACATTTTGGATCTAGGGGAAGTCAGTCACAGGTTGGGTAGTTTGCCTATGTACTATAGGTGGGGGGTGGTGAAGCCCGAATTTGAACCCGGACAACCTGGCTCCAGCCATTACGGTGCACAGCCCCCTGGGAAGTACAGGAAATGGCACAACGTGGTAAGTGGAGGCCAGACATGCTCAAACAGGCCAGTTCAGCCTCAGATGGCGTGCAATCTGGCAGCTGCGCTTCTCCAGCCGCTGGGGGGCAGTCGAGGGCCTGGAAACTGCCTCAGATCCAGCCGGTGAATTCCTAGGGCTGTAATGTCGGCCCAGGTTTCTTCTGGGGGTGGGGAGAGTTGGATCATAAGGAGGATCTAAAGCAGAGAGGGGCTGGTGACCTGCTACACAGCAAGGGTCACCGCAGAACACCTGGGGCCCCCGGGCCAGAGAAGGGGAGCTGTGTCCTAGGCGCTGATAAGCTCACTGTAGTATTCTTGGCAGCCTCACAAGGGGGACTAGCGGGGTGATTACAGGAGAAGAAACTGAGGCTCAGACCACCACCAGTCAGTTGGCAGAGCTGAGATTCAAACATGAACTCCAGAGGCCCATGCTCTGTGTGGGTGACAATTGCATTTTCTTTTCTAAATTATGAAATGCTTCAAAAAATAGGAAATGCTTCAAACAATATACCTATTAGACTGGGGCTCTCAGTTGAGAATCTGATTTCGGCTCAGGTCATGATCTCACGGTTCATGAGTTCAAGCCCCGCATGGGGCTCTGTGCTGACAGCTCAGAGCCTGGAACCTGCTTCAGATTCTTTGTCTCCCTTTCTCTCTGCCCCTCCCCCACTCCCTGTCTCTCTCCCTCTCTCTCTCTCAAAAAAAATAAACATTAAAAAAAATTTAAGGCCAACTACCCCCTACCCAACTTAAGAAGTGACGTAAGACCTAAAACTAGGACAGACAAAGCCCTCTGAGGTCACAGCCCTCCTCACTTGCCCCAGAGGGAACCGCTCTCAGGAACTAGCTGCCACTCACCTGCATGCGTTCACTTCTCGGCTGTAGACACATGTGTCCCTAACAGCACCCAGTGTTGCTTTGCCTTTTGGAAACAAGTCAACTGTTTCTGGTTTTTGTGTGTGTGTGTGTTGTCTTCATGTCACTTCTGAGATGCAGCCATGTTGACAAGCAGAGCGCTGCCTTTGCTCCTGCTGAGTATCACCCTCCAGCTGCCTACACCACAATGTATGTGTCCCATTCTCCTGTAAATGGGCTTCCCGTTTCCCAGCTTCTGCTACCAAAAATCACCCTGCAATGTTTTCCCTTTGTGTCTCTCCTTAGGTGTATGTGTGACTGTCCCCTAACTGCTCACAAACATCTCCACAGCCTGATGTAATTCCTCACCCCACCCCCACTCCTCAGACCTCATTTTCCTTCCATTGTGACCTAAAATGATGCTCAAAGGTATGTGGGCACACACAAGTGACTTTGAATCTGCTCCACCACTCCCAAACTGTATTATGCTGGGCAAGGGATGGCATTTTCTCTCTGGGCCTCAGTTTTCTCCTGTGTAAAATGGGGGGTGACTTACCTTACCCATGTGTGGGGAGGCTGGGTCAGGTCAAGAGTCCATTGTGGCTCTAACTCCTCGGGTGCTGGGGACATCAGCTCATGTCACAACAGCAGGGAGATAGTCTCATCCTCATTCCTGAGATTAAAAATGCCAAGGCTGGGGCTCCTAGCTGGCTCAGTCAGTAGAGCACAAAACTCATGATCTCAGGGTTGTGAGTTCGAGCCCCATTAAGTTGAATGTAGAGATTACTTTCAAAAAATTCTTTTAAATGCCAAGGCTCAGGGGGCTCCTGGGTGGCTCAGTCAGTTAAGTGTCTGACTTCAGCTCTGGTCATTATCTTGCAGTTCGTGGGTTGGGGCCCTGCATTATGCTCTGTGCTGACAGCTCAGAGACTGGAGCCTGCTTCAGATTCTGTGTCTCCTTCTCTCTCTGCCTCTCCCTGGCTTGCACTCTGACTCTCTCTCAAAAATTAAAAAAAAAAAAATTTTTTTTTTTAATGCCAAGGCTCAGAAAGCCACCACCTGCCTGCCCCATTTATTCTTCATGAACATTAATAGCAACCAACACTTACCGAGCACCTGCTACAGACTAGGCCCTATGTTCAGAGCTGTGCGTGCACAACCCCTTTAAATCCCGGATTCCAACCCCAAGAAGTGAAGACATGGAGGCTCAGAGAGAGGATAAGCTTTGCCCAAGGCCAGTGACTGAACGGAGACCAGACTCCGAACCACCACCCCGACAGACAGACTGCCTGCCTCCAGCAGGCCCCTCAAAGTCTGGCTCCCTCAAGCTTCCTTCCCAGGGCTGGCCAGTGGCGAGCCAGGCTGTGAACTGGTCTCCCCAACCCAGCAGCTTCCCCTCAGGGGAATTGCGGCCACAGGTGCAGGGAGCGGTTTCGGGCCTGAAGCATACCGCCAGGGGCTGCCCCCGGGCCCACAGCCCAAGGGCCCAGCAGTGGGGCCACTGGAGCCCATCTCCGGCAGGGGCTGGGCAGGAAGTGGGGCGGGGCTTGGGGCCAGTGAGGTGGAATCTGGTACCCCAGAACTGCTGCAACCCAGACTAACCAACCCACTGGGAGAGATGCCTGGGGGTCCCGGAGTCCTCCAAGCGCTGCGTGCCACCATCTTTCTCCTCTTCCTAATCTCCGCTGTTGGCCTGGGTACGTGGCTAACAGGCTGGTGCTGGGGGGCCACGGGAGGACTAGAGGCTGGAGAGAGGGCTCGGGCAGAGAGAAGGGCACTAGGAGTGGGGGGAGAGGAGCTGGCAGGGGGTGGGGGTGCCTGGAAGGCCCCTAAAGAAGCTCCATCTGCCTGCCCAAGCAGGCCGCAGGTCCGAGGGGAGGCCGGAGGGGACTCAGCAAAGTTGAAGGGGGATCCACAGCCACATGGAAGGAGACAGGGGCACGAGACGACTTCCCCACCCCCTTATCTCCCCCACAGGTCAAAATAAGGAACTAAGGTCGCCCTTGACTGAGCTCCAGAGCTGGGGGGGCAGGAAGGGCACTTTGGGGCAGTGCTCAGCTTCAAGGGAGAAAAACAGCTTTCTCCTACTCCGCCTTGAACCTCGGTCACCCCGTTGTGCTGGGAGCCCCTTTTCAGGGCTGGGGGAGGGGCGCCTCATTGACATTGCCCTCCCAGCTGTACCGCGTCCCCCCCCCCCAGCCCTGGGCAATGCCAGCTGGTGGGGCTGTGACCACCCAGGTTACGCTGGGAGCCAGGCTGGGGGCTATAGCCCATGACCCTGAGGTTGCTGCCTCTTTCCCCAGCTCTTCCTCCTCCTCTCTTCCTCACCTCCCCCCTCCTCCCTTCAGAAGAAGGCTGTGGGCTGGCCTGCAAGGCTGGGAGCGGAGACTTCCCCAGCAGCCTGGGCCACCCCTGGCTTCCTTTCTACAACCACCGTGCTGAGTCCCTTACCCTAATCCCCAGCCCAGCCACCGACTGAACTCGCTCCTGAACCCCAAGTTGTCATTTGCTAGTTACAGAGAGTAAGAGGTGGGCGTGAGTCGTGGGGCAAGGCATGCCCAAAGGCTGGGAGGAAGAGGCCCAGGAGGCTCAGGGTTTAACAACCCCAGCCACTCCCACTGCCCTGGTGATGCCAGGCAACCGATTTGCCCTCCCTGGGCCTCAGCTGTCCCACCTGTAAAATGGGATAATGAGAGAACCTACCTCTGAGGGTTTTGGGACAATTAAACAACATAAAGCAGCAGGGGCGGGGCAGGGCGGGGCTGGAGGGTGGGAAAGAGGACCAGGAAGGCCTTCAGGAGGAGGTGATGCTCAAAGTGATTCTGGAGGGAGCTGCCTGGACAGGGGCACTTCTATCACTAGGGAACCAAATATCCAAATGCCAGTGAATTCAGTGGGGCCACGGCACAGAGCACGGGGAGGGGGGCAAGAGGTGGGGACCCGCAGGGGTGTGTCCTCCCCTCCACCCCCAGGGTGTCCTCATCCTCAACAGGTGCACCCTCCCTCTGCTCCCCTAGTTACAGCCTTAGTCCCCAGCAAGTGTATTCACTCTAACCCCCAGTCTTTACTCCAATGGCAACACTGTGTGCCCTCTCCCCCCACCAAGTGTCCTCAACCCCCCCCACACACACACACACAAGGTACAGCCGCAGGGGCTAGGGCTGGGGCCTGTGCCCCCATCCATGGTCCCTGACTCCTCTGCCTCCCCGCAGGCCCTGGCTGCCAGGCCCTGTGGGTGGACGGGGGCCCGCCGTCGGTGACCGTGAGCCTGGGGGAAACGGTCCGCCTCCAGTGTCTGCACAACAGCAGCAGGCGGGACAGCAGGCTCAACGTCACGTGGTGGCGTGTCCTCCAAGGCAATGCCACGTGGCCCGATATATTCTGGAGCTACGGCGAGGCCCCCCATGGTGAGCTGATCATCAGCACAGTGAACAAGAGCCACACAGGCATGTACCGGTGCAAGGTGGAGGAGAAAGATGTCAACTACACAGTCCTCAACTTCCAGCAGTCCTGCGGCACCTACCTCCGTGTGCGTGGTGAGTGGCAGCCCTAGCTGGGCTCCTGGGGTCCCCCTGGCCCCCGCCGCCGCCCTGCCTGGGAGGTGGGGGATGGAGCCAGTGCCCCCATCGTGGGCATCCTGGCCTGCACTGCCAGATCTTCTCATCTGCGGAGTGGGGGCTTCGGTGGTCTTGCCTTTGTGGCGGGGGGAGGGGAGGACTGGGAGGCCAGGGCCGCGGGGGCAGGAGGCAGCAGCGCTCTGAACAGCACCCCCTCCTCACAGAGCCGGTCTCCAGACCTTTCCTGGACATGGGAGAGGGCACCAAGAACAACATCATCACAGCCGAGGGTATCATCCTGCTGTTCTGTGCTGTGGTGCCTGGGACGCTGCTGCTGTTCAGGGTGAGCCCCCTGCAGACCAGGGCCCTCGGGGTCTGAGGTCCCCTCCTAAAATGGGAGACTGACAGCACCCCCGCAGGGCTGTGGGGTAAACGAATTAGTACCATGAGATTTTGAAGAGTGCGGGGGCCCAGAGGGGCATCCTGCCTCAGTCTCCCCTCGGGGGGTTGTCCTCACCCTCCGCCCCCCAGGAAGCTCTCATTCTACGCCCCCACCCCCACCCCCGCCTCCCCAGGTATACCTCACTCTCCCCCCACCAGCCATGGTGTCTTATCTACCCCCTCCCCCCAGCCATGAGTGCAGTGGCCCTGCCTCCAGGGAAGATGGGGACTTCGTGTCTCCCGGGGCCTCTGACATGGACCAGCCCCTCTTTAGGCCACAGGGCAGCCACTGCCATTTACTATGATTGCTGTCATTTGTGGAAGGACAGAGTAGACCGCCAGGACACTGGCTTGGACCCCGGCCACCGGCCACTCACCGGCTATGTGATTTGGGCATGTCCCTTACCCTCCTGGCAGCCAGGAGGGTCTGAAAACATTCTCCCCCAAACCCCTTCACTGAGGCTCCCAATTATCCACCTACCCCAGAAACGATGGCAGAATCTGAAGTTCGGGGTGGACGTCCAGGATGACTATGAAGATGAAAACCTTTACGAGGTGAGTGGTGGGTGGGCACAGGTTAGGGGCAGGTGCACAGGGGTTCTCGCGGGATCCTCCCTGGGGTCGTCTGGGGCCAGGGGCTCGGCCGTCAGAGCGCTGAAGCCCACCGCCGCATGTCCCCCCAGGGCCTGAACCTCGATGACTGCTCCATGTACGAGGACATCTCCCGGGGCCTTCAGGGCACCTACCAGGATGTGGGCAGCCTCCACATCGGAGACGGGGACGTCCAGCTGGAGAAGCCGTGACCCTGCGGGCTGAGCCAACCCACTGTGCTGCCAACCCCGGTGCCCCCCACCCCACCCCTTCCTGTTCTCTTTTCACAAAATCTTCCCTGGGAGTGTCCTGACTCAACTTCCCCCTTGGGGATGTCCACTCTTCTTCCCTCTCAACTGCCCTCCTCCCCTCCGCACACCCCAATTCAGTTCTCCTGCTGCCTTGCCCAGCCTCCCCCCACACCCAGCGGGTAATGAGCCCTTAATCGCTGCCTCCTGGGGAGCTGATTGTAGAGCCTCCCCCTCCCTGCTCTGTCATGGCCACTTAGTGATAATAAATCCTTCCCAACTGCAGACCTTGGCAGGAGTCATGGATCTCATGGGGATGCTTTCTTCCTCTAGTGGGACCCAAGAGTCCAGGCCCCGGCCCCCTCCTTCCTCAGACCCAGGATTCTGGGCCCCCAGGCCCTGCCCACTCCCTGCACCGGGGACCAGGTAGCCAGTCTTGGCTGCCCCCCTGAGAGAAACAGCAAGTGTTTGGGGAGCTCAGGGATGAGCAGGGAAGGGGCACGGAAAGGAGCCAGGTGACCACATTCATTTCTGCATATTTAAGTCTCACAAACACAGGGGCCTGTCTCGTGGGGCCGGTGCCAGATTCGGATTCTGACCACAGCCAGGCCACACCTGTTCTCTGGGAGTGGACTCCAGGCAGGGAGATTTGGAATCTGTGGGTCTAACCTGGGGACGGTAGTGAGCCCCTGGGGAAAATGACAGAGGCCGAGGGACACAGGGTTTCTGGGAGAGGAGAGACAGGCTGAGACACAGAGATAGTGATGGAGAGAGAGCAAGTGAAAAGAAAAACTAGGAGGGGACAGGGACTCCGGGAGAGGCAGAGATACTGGGACAGAGGGAAAGCAGAGAGAAAGGACAGAAGGGTCCATAGAAAAAGGGACACGGAGGGGGACCCCCAGACTCTAAGGAAAGCAAGAGTTGGGGAGATGACTGCGGTGCCGATGCAGAAAGATATAGAGACCCGGAGGGGGGAAGAGAAGGGCTCTGAAGGAGTAGTGACACAGAGGACGGACAACGAGGGGAAGCGGGGGCCCCGGGGGAGGAAAAGACCCCAACGGAGAAGGGAGACAGAGAGTGGCAGAGAGGGGCACGGAAAGAAACACGCACAGCGAGGCAAATAAATAAAGGAAGACCAAGAGACCCGGACGGAAAGCAGGGGGAGGCGATGGCGGACACCTGGCAGGGGCGAGAAAAGTGCGGCGCCCGCCCTGCGGACTGACAGACGGACAAAGCCGGGAGGAGCCGGGCGGGGCCGGGGCGGGGTTGGGGCCGGCGGGTCCAGACCCAGCGGGGACAGGAGGGGCCGGGCGAGCGGCGAGAAGGGGAAGGAAGCGGAGGTGCCGGGCGGGCGCGGGGCGCGGGCAGGAAGCGGGGAGGGGCGGCGGGGCGGGGGCCTCCGGAAAAACGCCCCAACTTCCTGCCCCGCCGGAGCCAGGAAGCGGGAGCCGGGACACAGGGCCCGGGATCGCCGAGCCCGACCTCGGGCGCCCTGCCGGTCGCCTCCCCGCGCGGACACCAGGTACACGGTCCCTGGCCCCGCCCGGCCTCCCGCCCCTCGGCTGCCGGGGGAAGTGGGGAGGAGGAGGGAGGGGGCCGGGGCGCTGCCGGCAGTGGGGGGGGCCTCCGCTGCGCACCACAGAGCCCGCGTCGGCCCCTCCCCGGGCCTCAGTTTTCCCATCTGTCAAAGGGGGCAAAGAGAGGAGAGCGAGCTAATACCTGCCGAGCGCCCAGTAAGTGGGGATGAGGGGTGCGAGGCCGGGGTCAATGCCTCCCAATTGTCTAGCGGAGGACGGATGGTCATTCCCATTGTATTGGTGGGGAAACTGAGGCTCGGGGAGCGGAACCGACTCGTCCCAGGGTACACACACCGTGAGACGGAGTGGAGATGGGATTTGAACTTGCAGGTGCTTTCAAGCACCTTCCTCCAACCCCACATGCTTTAGGGCCACCTAAAAAGAAAAACGTCCGTAACTACGCCGTAGGCCGCTGTGAAGCTGAAAGTTGCAGAGCGCCGTTTGAAAGCATTTCTGGAAAGCTCTTTTGCTGGGCAGTTAATTATACCCTGAGACATGGGTTATAGAGGACAGAGCTGGAGACCTTCCCCCATTGTACAGGTGGGAAGACTGAGGGTCGGAATGAAGTAATTACTTTCTCGAGGTTACACTGCGTATCAGCGGGAAAGGTACGCTGAAACACAGGAGTTTTGCATTACAGCCCTAGAAGAAAGCGTGCGGCCGGGGCCGGTAGTGGGGGGTGGGAGGTGCGGGAATAATTAACGTACACCTTGGGAATTCAGCTGGTTCCGGTTAGGAAGGCAAGATAGTGTGGGGAGCCCACTCGGGAGACTAAGGGCCACGGGCTACTCGGAGATCTCGGATTGAGTCCTCGCCAGGGAGCTGCAACCACTTTCTAGTGGGGCTGGGGGCGGGGCAGGGTAGACTGACAGGAGCAGTCGAGATACGGAAACGCCAGTCCTCCGAGGCAGGCCAGAGCGGCCCTATCTGGCCAGCGTGGCGCAGTGGAGAGCTAGAGCGGCCGGCGGGAGGAGTAGAGTCGCCTGGGCAGTACCCTGGCAGGAGCTGGGCTAGAGAGGCTGGCGGGAGGAGTAGAGCTGGAAGCAAAGGTAGATTTGCGGGCAGCTAGAGCGACTCGGAGTTGGGGGTGGGGGACCCCGGAGCCGGCGCGCAGAGACTTCGGTTCTGGCGGCTGCGGTGGATACTCCTACGATCAGGAGCAGGTGAGGGACGCGGCCCCTGTCGGGCGTCAAACCCTGACTCCGCAGGTTCGCCCCAGCATCCCTGGCCGTGCATACCGCCACGTCCCCTGTAGGATTTGGGGCCCGTGTAGACCCGCAACGTCCCATGTAGGATTTGGGGCTGTTATAGATTCGCCAAGTTCCATATAAATTACAAGGCCCTACAGACCCACCAGCTTTCTTCTACCCTCGCCCCTCCCCCCATGGAAACTCGGCTTCTTATTAGATGCAGGGTTCCCATCAGTCATTAGCACCTCCTAGAATCCTGAGCCCTGTAGGTCCCAGAGCTTGGGATTACCACATGCTCCTATATTCTTATAGGTCCCACGGACTGGCTATTTTGCATATGGAATCATGATTCTGTGGGATCACATGGGTGTAGACCCACCATGTGTCCAATAGAATCTGGGGCCTTATACATTCCAAGGGCCTTCATGGACTTAATTTGATTACTCTATTTTAGGTTCTTAAAGGCTCCCTCCCAGATGACCAGGGCCTAAATGTGTTATAGACCCCAAACCTTGCATAGAATCCATGCGCCCTTGTAGTCCCCAACCTGTGTCCGCTTTGCTTTAGGACTCTCATATCTAAGAACCTTCTAAACCTTCCCTGACCACCACCACCCCCAGTCCCACGCACATGACATTCCCTCTGCTGGACCCTAGGCCTTGTCGGTTGCCTATAGATCCATCTGACAGCTTCAGCCTATAATTACCCATTGTGGTAGCCCCTCACCCTGTATGTCCGAAGCACCCAACCCCTCACCTTCTCTGCCAGCATCCTCTCTGAGCCCTGAGTCCCTGTGGAGCGGCTATAGCAGCAACCTGCACTCCTGCCCATGTCATGGTGCCCACATACCTCTGACTTTCCCAGACACCATAAAGAGACCTGATACGTCTCAGCTGTGGTTCAGATTTTAGTTCCTCAAGGTTGGGTAGGGGTTCCTGGTGCTCTGAAGCGGCACATTCTGATAGTTCAGTGCATGAACTCGAGCCAGACTGTGTGGGTCTGAATCCTGGCTGTGTCCCTTATAATCTGTGCCTCAGTTTCCTCTTCTGTAAAATGGGGAAAGGGGCGCCTGGGTGGCTTAGTCGGTTGAGCGTCCGACTTTCGCTTAGGTCATGATCTTGCAGTTTGTGGGTTCGAGCCCCGCATCGGGCTCTGTGCTGACTGCCAGCTCAGAGCCTGGAGCTTATTTCAGAGTCTGTGTCTCCCTCTCTCTCTCTGACCCTCCCCTGCTCACGCTGTCTCTCTCTCCTAGAAATAAATAAAAATACAAAAAAAAAAAAATGGGGATAGTTATAAAACTGACCTCCAGGGGTCATTTAGAGGATTAAAGGGGTTGATCTATAAAACAGTAGCGTTGCACCTGGCACACACTCAATAGCACTTAGTGCAGATTAAGTGTTAGCTTCTTCGCGTTACCCGTGATGAGGAATGAAGAAGGTCACGGGCATCTGAGTGCACGATTTGGGGCCTGCATGGCATGAGCATTCGCTCTCAAAATGTGTGTCCTCTCCTTTGCCCTTTTGGAACCTCCCTGCCTCTGTCGAACCTTTCTTTCCACCCCAAGTGGGAGGAGCATGCACCTTCCATGTGCGCGGTCATGTTTTCCAGGCCAGAAGTTGCAGCTGGTGGCCTGGTGAAGGTTTTCCATCTCGAACTAATCGCATGGGGTGCTTGTGGTTGTGAGCGTTGAGTTCATATGTGAGAAGCCCTGGGAGCAGTGCCTAGCACGCTGTAAGTGCTAGGTAAGTGTAGCCTTTGTCATAAGTAAGCAGTGTTTGTTGTTTGTTTTTTTGCGTTGGTTTGCAAATTTATTTATGTGAAGATTGAACGGTGCTCAGATCTTAAGTTAACCCAAACTTGAAGTTGGACAAATCCAACTACTCTATGGAAAAGGATAAAAAGGACGCATGCCCTGGGGAGCCCACAGGATGGCACTTGAGAACTCCGGAAAGCATCATTGTCTGATGATCCTAATCAAAATCATAGCCACGGGTTATTGAGTGCTAGGGAGGAGGCCTGTGGAGGAGGGAGAAGCCTGGGTCTCAGGCGACCGGGGTTATAAATAGCTTTGGGAGAGCACCCCCCCCAACCCCGCTGACCCACTCCACCCTGTTTCCACAGCTCCTTCCCGCCTGACACGGGCTCGAGTGGCATTAGTCGGACTAATTAAGGACACAGAAGATGGCGGTGGGAAGACGCAGGGGGAAGTGGAGACTCTAAGGGAGACAAGATGGGAGAGAGAGCAAGAGATAGAGAGATGTGAGACAGCATATGACATAGTGGCTCGGAGAGGACTTGGAGAGGTGGCTGCAGAGCCAGATGTGGGAAGACAGGCAGAGACAGGGGACAGACAGAGCAACAGAAGCAGGGTCAGGGGGAGGTGGCTGACGGGGAAGGGAGGCAGAGATGGCGGGGAGGTGAGACGGGTCAGAAGGGAGGGAGGAAATGAGGAGGCAGGGGGAAGAGAGCCAGAGACCTGAGGCACATCCACGGGACAGCTAGCCAGGGAGAACTGGCT